ACAAAATAAATTAAAAGTAACACACACACAAAGATATATATATATATATATATATATTGTTTGTATATATATATATATATATATATATATATAATGAAATAGAATAAGTCCGAAAATTATTTCAATAAATTTTTGCTTTTACGCTATTTTTATAGATACAAATATTTAAGTAAATGCTCTGTTTATAATAAATTATTAACAAGTATTAACAACATTTACCGGTCTGAATGTCCGAGATATTACATAGGAAATATATGTCTTCCGACAGGAATCGAACATGTATCCTAAACGGAACCGTCATATAGCCTAACGTGGTATACTATTTACTACAGAGGAAGCGTCTGATTAGCAAAGCCGAATTACTGCTTTTAAACTGCAAATTTCCCATGATTTCTCTCGAACGCTCATATCTGCTCGAAGCGTATCTTAACGTCAACAAATGACATCATATATTATGAAATGGACTAAGTCCGACAATTATTTTAATATATTTTTGCTTATACTTTATTTTTATAGATATAAATATTTAAGTAAATGCTCTGTTTATAATAAACAGTAATAACAACATTTACCGGCCTGAATGTCAGAAATTTTCACAAAAAGTATGTATTCTTTGCCAGGAATCGAACCTGTATCCTACACGGAACGATCATATAGCCTGCTAACCAGACGCACGTCAGGCTATATGACGGTTCCTTGTAAGATACAGGTTCGATTCCTGCCGGAGGCACATATTTCCTATGAAATTTCTCGAACATTCAGGTCGGTAAACGTTGTTAATAATATTATAAACAGAGCATTTACTTAAATATTTGTATGTATAAAAATAACGCATAAACAATATATATATATATATATATATATATATATATATATATATATATATGTGTGTGTGTGTGTATTGTAGATCCGAATGTTATTTGTTAACTTTTTATTATTGAATACTTAATTATTTATTCTGATTTGATTATCATTTAATTTACTCATAATTTTGCTTAATTTAAAATAATCGCGCGAAACGGTGATACAGAACGTTCATTACTATCAAACTTTCTGCTTCGGCAGAGAGGAACCCAGACGAGGCTTTGCCGAAGGACAAAGTTTCTTCAGGGGAGGTAGACAGATGGCCCTGAACCCGTTTGGCCGAGCTTACAAGCTCAGAGAAACCACGCTAAACCGGCCTTGTGCCACATACGACCCATGTGGTGAGGGCGTTAAATATAACAATAATCGCGCGAACGCACACACACACACACACACACACACACACACACACACACACACACACACACACACGCTATGATCTCGCCCTGCCCCCCTCCCCAAAAAAATTGCACCAATGAAAAGTGCATATAGAAAAGAAAAATCCTGAAGTATAATCAGTCAGTTGTTGATTAAAGAGAGCTATGCTGTTTATGTATCTTACATTGCTATTTTTAATGATAGTAATCGAGATAGAGTAGTAATATTAGGTGATAAGATTGTGAACGTTACGTACATATAACAGTAACGCATTTTATTACCTGAACAAAAGTAAATAAAAAGAATACAAAAGTGTTCGTGGGAGGTGGAGTGAGGTGGGGGTGAAGGTTGGTGTCTGTAGGGATGTCCTTTCTCGTACGTACGTCTGTGTAAAGTCCTATTAAAGATATTGAGTGATTTGCATTTATCTCTTATTTTTTTAAATAATAAAATTCACTCAATACAAGACCTAAGAGCCCCTCAAGTTAGAGAATTACCGTGTTGTGCTGTATGAGTGCAAGAAAAGGCAAGAAGTGAAGTTCATGGGTTTACGTAGGAAAGATAACGGTTAACCTTGAAGAGGTCAATATTGTAGCGATTGGGAAAACATTCGGCGGGGAGTCTGTTCCACAAAGCAACAGTTCTTGGGATAAGCTGTTCGATGCAGCTTACTTCTTACTAATGGGATACGAAGGTAATGTGGACGATTCACTTTTGTGTATGCGGCATTGCAGTTCCTTGTTGTAGAGGTGGTATTAAAGAATATAGCGCATTAGAAAATTTGCTATGGAAATAGCGATAGATCACTGAAAGCCTCGCGACTTTTCGTCTGTCGGAAAAGAGTTGTAGAATGGAAAACAATTCATTACCCTTAAGGCCGCGTAGACACTTTTGAACATTAGGCAAATGAAAACTGGGCAGCTCCAGGCCATATATAGCAGTAATAAACCTTTTTGTTCTGATTTGGTTCTTGTAAAGATAGATTGTAGCAAAGTGATGGGTCAGATATTTACTGGAGAGGTGCCATGAACGGCCGTTTTTCTAGCATCTTTAGAAGCCGAGTTCTATTTGAGGTCTGCGGAGAGATTGAATCATAATAGATGTTTAAGGCATCATGATAAGTGAAAGGTCGGGTTCTGCTCGCTGGTGTTGGAACGGAACGTTAAAAGTTTGACTTTGGCCGTATTGAATTTTACAAGCCAAAAGCAGAGATGAGCCGCCAAAAAGAGAGATGAGCCGCCAAAAGAAGAGATGAGCCGCCAAAAGGAGAGATGAGCCGTCAAAGGAGAGATGAGTCGCCAAAAAGAGAGATGAGCCGCCAAAAGGAGAGATGAACCGCCAAAAAGAGAGATGAGTCGTCAAAGGAGAGATGAGCCGCCAAGAAGAGAGATGAGCCGCCAAGAAGAGAGATGAGCCGCCAAAAGGAGAGATGAGCCGCCAAAAAGAGAGATAAGCCGTCAAAGGAGAGATGAACCGCCAAAAAGAGAGATGAGCCGCCAAAAGGAGAGATGAGCTGCTAGGTTCTGGTTTTTCCAGATTTTTGGAGGTGCACCTATAGGCTGCTGTATCATCCGCATAAGCTTAGGGAATTTGTCTGCTGTGTACTCTTGTGTTAAATTTGACAATTGGTTTGCTGGTGACCAAGAGGCTCCTCTGCCTCAGACAAGACCGAGACACGTCCTAACTGTAAGGCAGACTGTGGCTAAAAGAGAAAAAAGTGGATGAGTCTTATCACCCTTTTCTTATATGGCACTTATTACCATCTAGCGGTCGCTAGATAATTTCTTTGGCAGACAAGTGGGGTCATCCATTCTCTAATGCAGTGAGTCTCTACTACATTGAATGACACACTAATTCGGTCTAAAAATTCATGAATTGTACGCCCCGCACGGAGAAAATACCTGTGTATAGGGCAAGCGGTCACCAAAAATGCATTATATATATATATATATATATATATATATATATAATTATTTATTTAAAAATTATAAAAGAAATATGTTATAAAATCACTACAAAAATAGCCATTTTGTTTCACTTGATGAGACACCGGAGGTGTTGAAACAAAATGGCTATTTTTGTAGTGATTTTATAACATATTTATTTTATAATTTTTAAATAAATAATTATATCTGCTCTACTCTGTATTGAGCACTCTTTTAAGAATAGTAATTGTTGGTTATTGGAATTTATTCCGTATACACCAATTATATATATATATATATATATATATATATATATATATATATATATATATATATATATAGTAAAAAAGAAGAACAGTAAGATATGTAATCCGGTGTTCTCATTGATATTTTTATTTTTACAAAACAGTGCTCAATGTAAATTTACAGAGCATAGATATTATAAATTAACTATTTTAAAAAATATGTTTTCATCGCTACACAGGAATTACCATGTTTCAAAAACAGAAATCAAAAACTTCATATTCAATTATATTAAATTTTGGAATTCCAAAAGTTGCTTGAAGATAGAACAGAACGAATACTTTTAATTTAATTATATAATTAAATTTGAAGTTTTTGATTTCTGTTTTTGAAACATGGCAATTCCTGTGTAACGATGAAACCCTATTTTTAAAACAGTTAATATATATATATATATATATATATATATATATATATATATATATATATATATATTTGTAAAACATCATTTATTTCCAAACACCCTAATATAATGAATTAACTTATATTTGTAAATATATCATTTCTTGTAAAAGCGTCATTATATTCGAACTCCCTAATATTTAAATAAATTTAATTGACATTTGCTTTTCTGGTAAAACGCCATTACTTTTCGAATGCCCTAATATTTGTCTCCCGTGTTATTAGGCAGCCAATAATATTTATTTATATAGGCATATATGAGAAAACATTACGAATACATATAATGATTGATTGATTTCGATTTTTTACGACTTTTTTTACGTTTGCAGGTTATTTAAAGCCATAAAATATTTTTAGAATGTACGAATTTTTTAAAATAAATAATGATTTATTGATATCAGTTTTACTAATTAATCCAAGTATGGGGGTGAAGTTGCGTATTCATAACTTTCCCAAGGGTATGTGTACGTGAGTGAATATAACGAACGTAATTTCGAGCCATTATGCCTTCCACCATCCGAACATCGGTATTCCCAAGCACTCACCTATATAGGTACTGATCAGGCCCGACGTTGGTTAACTTCGGTGATCATACGGAAATCGGTTTAAACGTGATATGGCTGTAAGCTGTGCCAACTGCACATCCCAGCTTACAACACCTGGTACACCCAAGCTACTGATCAGGTTCGACGTTGCTTAACTTCGCTGATCGTGTGGGAACCATTATTTGAGCGTGATATGGCCGTAAACCGTGCCACCAGCACATCACAGCTTACATCACCTGGTACTTCTAAGCCACTGATCAGGCTAGACGTTGCTTAACATCTGTGATAGCATGTGAACCGTTATTTCAACGTGATATGGCCTTAAACCATGCCATCTGCACATCCCCGCTTACAACACCTGGTACACCTAGGCTACTGATCAGGTTCGACGTTGCTTAACTTCGGCGATATTTCAACGTGATGTTGCCGCAAGCCGTGCCATCTGCACATCCCAGTTTACAACACCTGGTACTCCCAAGTTACTGACCAGGATCAACGTTGCTTAACTTCAGCCAAAGCGCGGGAACCGTTATTTCAACGTAATATAGCCGTAATCCATACCACCTGCAAATCAAAGCTTACAACATTCCCAAGCAGTCACCGATCTTGCTACTGACCAGGCTCGACGTTGCTTAATTTTGGTGATCGTACAGGAACCTGTGTTTTAACGTGATATGGCCGTAAGCCACATGAATAATTGAAAATAAAATGGCAATAAAGTATGTATGATATTTTATTCCTGCCGAGACGAGAAAAGAAGGAAAGCAGTCGGGAAATGACTGTCTTTATTGATAGAAAAAGGTATTGTCTGTACGTCTGTAGGCAAGGGTCGCTGTTTGTTTGGGGGCAAGGGTCACCTGGATTGAATGCCATGTCTCAGTGAGCCGCGGTTTTCGGAGTAAAGAGTTGAGGTTGTGTTAAGCGTGGCGACATTTGGATTTGATGTGTGACAAGGAAGTAGAAATCCCGCCTCTTTTCTGTCCTTCTCCAGTTTTTCCTTTTGTTCCCTGATTTTTCTTGATCCAATTTTAGAATTCTCCCGTACTTCCTCTCCTGCTGACAAAATCCTATTTAGACACCCTGGGCTCCATTTCTGGTTCTCTCCAACAACCAACCTTTATTGTGTTTACAATTTGCTTTCTTTCTCATAACTCTGGGTGATTAATTAAATAAATAAATGGATGCATTCTAAAAGGGGGAGCCTGACCAGATTTGGCAAACGCTAATTGCATCAGCTGGATCTCGAGATTCGTTGGTTCCAGCGTCTAGGAGGTCTTCATGGTGCCATGCTGTGTTCTTTATAACGTCTCTTGTGTAAGAGAGGGTGTGCGCGTGGCGTTGCAGTTATCGGTGCCGAAAGTGGGACAGGCGAGCCGTGTTCCAATTCCAGCTCATGCCGTAGCGTTTGCTTTCGTGCAAAGGAAAGTCATGAGGACGTCTCTTCTTCCACCAACTAACACTTCAAAAGCAGAGTAGACTGGAACCTATAGCCATGGTTGGTAACCAGTCCAGTAGAAGGAAATTCTAAATTCCCAGAGCTAACCGGAAACAACACTAGTATTAATAGAGAAAAGGAATCTGTGGAGAGCCATGATCACTTGCGTCCCGAAGCGATATGGAGTGTAAAGAAAAGAAACCGTGTAAGAGAAATTACCTGGCAATGCCTATCTCCTCTTAAAGAAACAGAGAAAAGGAAGAGTGGGTGAGAGAAAGGGAGAAAGTATGAGAAAGAGGGAGGGTGTGTGTGAAAGAGACATTGAGATAGATAGATAGATAGATAGATAGATAGAGAGAGAGAGAGAGAGAGAGAGAGAGAGAGAGAGAGAGGTGGTGAAGATAATACCGGGTTGCATGGTACGAATAGATTCCATAAGAGTGGGGAATCGGAGAGCCGAGTTCGAATTCCAGTCGAACCCATTACATTCACACGTGCTAATACCCTTGGGAAAGGTATAAATGCCCTTCTTTCCCGGCCCCCCGCCACTACCAGCAATGAATAAATAGCAGGACAGACCGGGTTCTATAGCCTTGGATGGCAATGGTCTACCGCAAAAACAAATGGCAAGCTACCGCGGGAAAAAATCCACCTCGTCAGTCATTTATCGAAAGATACATGATAACCTAAGCGTGTATCACGCATGGCACATAACTGACTGATTGAACATCAGTGAGCTACCAGCACTCAACAAGCATGGCAGACCAGTGACGAGACCCTTGTCAACTTATCTGGCGATGGGACAGAGAACTATCAGTGCTCGCCTCCTTTATATTAAAAAAAAAACAGGAAAAAGAGTGGGAGTTGCATGCTACGAATAGATTTCCTAACATCAGTGAGCTATCTCCCACAAAGGTCGTGGCATAGCAGTGACGAGACCCTTTTCAACTTATTAGGCAATGGGATAGATAACTGTCAGTGCCCATCTCTTTTTAAAGAAACAGGAAAGAGAGGGGGAGTTGCATGCTACGAATAGATTTCCTAACAGCAGTGAGCTACCTCTCTCAAAGATTGTGGTATATCAGTAACGAGACCGTTGTCAACCTACCAGGTGATGTGACAGAGAAGTAGCTGTGCTCATTCCCTATTAAAGAAACAGGAAAGCGAGATGGAGAGAGATAAGACTGTGTTGCATGAATGGGCTCACCTGATTGGGCTTTTCCTTCATCAACAATCGTGGCATAGCAGTGACGAGACCCATGTCGACATAACTGGCGATGGGACAAAGAACAGGGAGAGCTGTACTCATGTGTTTTCAAATGGCCTTAGACCAAAGTGAGAATTCGTCCATGATTTGAAAATTTAATTATTTTACATCGACAGACACTGTCCCCTCATTGATTCATACAATTGATGCAAATACTAAAACCTTTTCCCCTAAAAGTTGTTTTCCTTTGCTGAAAATATTAGAAAATTCGGAAAATAATGTTCTTTTGGCCTGACGTGCTATACAATTTAGCTACGGAGGAAGCCGCTGGTTAGCAAAGCCAAATTACTGTTTTACTTTGCTAACCAGATGCTTCCTCTGAAGCTAAATGGTATAGCACGTGTAGGATACACGTTCGATTCCTGTCAGAGGACGTCTATTTTCTATAAAATTTCTCGGACATTCTGTATAGTAAATTTTGTTAATACTTTTTTTTTTTTATAAATAGAGCATTTACTTAAATATTTGTATCTATAAAATAACGTATAAACAGAAAATAATTGTCAGGCATAGTCCATAATATATATATATATATATATATATATATATATATGTGTGTGTGTGTTTGAAAATATATAGACAATAGGAAAGAACTCGTATATCGGCTTTCCAAATTAAGGTCGACCATCCTGAACTGAACCTTTATTTTTAAAATAAAATTCTAATATATATATATATATATATATATATATATATATACGTGTGTGTGTGCCTGAATGTGTGTATATATGTGTTTGTATGGGCATATCTCTCTCTCTCTCTCTCTCTCTCTCTCTCTCTCTATATATATATATATATATATATATATATATATATATATATATATATATATGTGTGTGTGTGTAATTTATTCAAAATTATAACATAAATATTTTATAAAATCACTACAAAAAAATAAACATTTTTTTTTCCTACTTTATTGTCATATCATGATGGTGTTCAATGTAGAATAAAGGTTTTTCTTTATTCTACATTCAACACCAACACTTGATAAGACACCAGAAGTGTTGAAAACAAAAATGGCTATTCATGTAGTGATTTTTTAACAAATTTATGTTATAATTTTCTAAATTACACACACACACACACACATATATATATATATATATATATATATATATATATATATATATATATATATATATATATATATAATATTTATACTTGTTCTTATGTATTGAGCATTCTTTTTACGAATAGTATTTTTGGTTATTGGAATTTATTCCGTATACACCAATCCTATATTAGGGTAATGATACCTTAAACTGGTCTGTTTTTTATTTAAATTAAACTATATATATATATATATATATATATATATATATATTAATTTTCAAAATAAATTGATGTAAAAAGGCCAAAAAGAAGGAACACCCAGTGAGGATTGAATTCACTACTCAGTCGTAATTGATCTTATACGAGACAATCTTGCACCTCGACGTGGTGTAGTGGCTAGCAATATATATATATATATATATATATATATATATATATATATATATATATATATATATATATATATATATATATATAAAATCTGGACGTTGTGTAATGGCTAGCAAAAATTGTCTCGCTTTTAATTATGACTATGAGTTCAGGCCTCACTGGGTTTGTATACTTACTCGGCCTTTAATATTCATCTCAGCTACGCCTAGAAAATCATTATATATGTATGTGTGTGCGTGTTTAAGGCCAACTGCTTCCTTCTTCATTTCTTTTTTATTCCATCTGTTATCTCTGCTCTTAAGTGCAAGTGAAAACTAAGTAAACATCTGTTTACTTTCCTCGAAGACATATACTTAAATACAACCAGATTAGACTTTCGTTTACAAGCACTCATAACGAGTCCAATGAAACAAGGAATAAATGAATACGTCACAGACGTTTTCAGCTAATGAATATTTAATAATCAAATAAATGTCGTTTCTTTTCTTACTTAATATCTCGGTTTTATTTAAAAAAAATTTTTTGACCACCCTGCCTCAGAACAGACTGAAAGCACACTTGAAATATTTTGATCAAATTAATAATAAACATATGTAAACGTTTGTTAGCTCAGAGCGAGGCTAGAACCTGCTATGAAACGGAGAGGTCTGCAGTTTTCATGTTTTAATGTTTCTTGCAATTATTTTATGATGCTAAATAAAAAGATATAAAAGGCTTTTATTCTCTAGTGCCCAGTCTAGCGCGTGTATCGCAATTTATTTTAACGAAACCTATTTCCAATCAGTTTTAAACAAATTATTCACCAAATATTGCTTTTGATATATATAACACTGGAACAGATAAATAACGCAAGGCATTTTTTTAAATATCTGTCTCGGAAGTTCAAATACATGAATTGGGAGATCAGTTCATATATCTTGATCGTTTCCACAGCTTCTATTACTCATATCAAGTGTATTGATGTGAGTAATAAAAGTCACTGTCGATATATAGGTGGCATCAATTGACTAATAACTAACCTTATTTATGTCGCTTGCTAATTGAATTAACCCAATCTCTCAGAGTCGAGCCTTTGTTCATAGGTTCGATTGTCTCTTATTATTTATTAATAAATAGCCAATGAAGATCAAGTCGAAACAGAATCCAGAAAGCAGACTAATTCCCAACAACGACAGGGACTAATTAAGAAATAGTACCAGCTTCTATTTATGACTCGTGTGCTTCGACCGTGACTGCACCGCGTGCGCATGCTCCACAGGAAGTCAGGTGTTGTGGCGGTTGGGAAGGGCGACAGTCATGGAGTCAGTGGTGCGGGGTGACGACTGAATTAATTCGGAAGCGGTCCGAAGTGAAAACGAATCAATCATTAGGGTATTTTTCTTTTTCATGTTACCGGTCGGCACAATAGCGTTTTACTTCCGGCTTGCTGCTTCCGGTGGCTGTTAGATGATTACGATTACTGCCCCTTAGTGTGTTTTAACCGTTTATAATGGTCGCCTTGTGTACCTTATCTTGTTGTTCATCTGATCTGCGGAT